ATTTAGTGGCTGATGAAGCTCTGAACGACAAACGCATATATATATATATATATATATATATATATATATATATATATATATATATATATATATATATATAAAAAACAATAAATATATACACTACGTGCCAAATTATTATCGTGATAAGTTTTTATATTTCAAATATCGTACAATCAATTCACACAAAATTTTCACACAATGTTGGCAACACTGACCTGCGCAATCACTGAGATTATCGTGCTGATCTGCGCAATGTAAACAAACTGGCGACAGATTTGTTATCAGCACGGTGATTTGGGCGTGCCAAATAATTAGAATGGTTTAGTAAAATTCCCAGAATTGAGCAAACAAAACGTTTATTAATGTTGCACGTGAATGTTTATGATCAAAAGAAGTTATAAATAAGATAATCAAGCAAATAATAACAGATACAAACAAAGGCACAGTTTTAACAAATTAATAGGGAATGTGCTTTCTCCGTTTTGGAATTACTTGAAGAAGTCGACGATCCTTAGAATTTGTTAATTGTAGGATGTCATCTGCTGTAATGCCGCGAGATATGTCAAGAATTGCTTGCCACAACTCAGCGTTGCTCCTGAATTGTCGTCCGTTGGCGTACAGTCTTCGCTTCATGATGTCCAAAGGTTTTCGATTGGGTTCAAATCTGGAGAATTTGCTGGCCACTTCATTTTTCGAGGTCCATTGAAGCCTAACTGTTTCAAATATTCAGTAGTCTTGTGAGCAACATGTGAGGGAGCATTATCTTGCATAAAAACAATGGCCCTTCTGAAGGCAAGTCTTTGCCTTTTCATCCACGGTTCAAGAGGCTCCTTCATAAACGCTATGTATGCAACTGCAGTCATTTTGACGCCATCTGGTACTGTCCATGGGCCCACTAATTTTTTTCCAATAATACCATCCCAGATCATTATGCCTCCACCGCCTTGTTGGTGTCTCAAACGCTGATGGCGATTCTGTCCGTTCATTACCCAGCCTTTGCACCATCTATCTGGCCCATCAAGTGTTGCTTGAGTTTCTTCTGTGAACAAAACTTTAGAGAAGTCAATCTTCATACTGTCCTCGGCCCATTTCAATCGATTTTGAATGTGATTTCTCGTCAACGGAGGCCTCGATACAGGTTTGACTGTTGTTGCTATTTCCCTCAGATACCGACACCGAGTACTTTTAGACATGAAATAACCTACGGCTTGCCTTTATCTGCCCTTTTCGCTGTTTTATGACACCTCCCTATCATTTTCGAAATTTCTAGGGTAGATTTACCTTTTGAGAGTTCTGACGTGATAGTTTTCTTTTCAGCATCACTTAAACTGCTTTTACGGTCCATCTTTTCACTAAATTCTTACACTTTTCTAATAATTTGGCACGCTCAAATCACCGTGCTGAAAACAAATATGGCGCCAGTTTGTTTACATCATGCAAATCAGTATGAACATTTCAGTGATTGCGCAAGTCAGTGTTGCCAACATTGTGTGAAAATTTTGTGTGAATTGATTGGACGGTTTTTGAAATATTATAAAAAAACTTATTTCTATAATAATTTGGCACGCAGTAGTATATATATATATATATATATATATATATATATATATATGTATTAATTAGTACATATACGCGTATCTACTTTTTTGGCGTGCGACTATAGATTCGCTGGGTGGTGTCCCCAGTTCGTTGGGCACGGGGTGTATGTTGCCGGAAGTAAACAAATGGCCCATGGGAGTTTTGCTACCGCGTAGTTTATAAAAAATAAAGTTGCACAGAAGTCTGCTAAATGTGATGATGGTGGTTTACATTTCTTAGAAAAAATTAGCGGAATATGAGGTTGGGGGGGGGAGTGTGTGAAAGAAAAAAAAACGCCCAAAAGGCAGGTACGCGTATATGCACTAATTAATATATATCTTTGCTCTGTATAACCGCATTGAGCACAATTATGATTACACCTCATGCATAAATTTAACGATTATTTATTTGCTTGACTCCGTATGCACACCAGCACACGCGCCCACGCCTGCTTCTATCTGGCCGTTTCATTTATCTACTTTACAACTATATATATATATGTGTGTGTGTGTGTGTGTGTGTGTGTTTGTGTATATATATATATATATATATATATATATATATATATATATATTAACGACAAAATGAAAACTTATCTTAGCTGACATTGGAATTTCCTTATAAACCGAAGTACCTTGTCAGTTGATTTTGAAACCTTTATAAAAATGGATTGCTGCCGAAATGAAATTTATATATATATATATATATATATATATATATATATATATATATATATATATATATATATATATATATATATATATATATATATATATAACGATATATCATTTGGCATAATTTCATATATCACTTAACAGTATGTAGAAAAATATTATGACAAAGTTGGAAAAATCTTTCTGCCGCGTAAACGGTCCGATGAAACACGAACGGATGAAACGCATCACAAATCTTTTTCAGCTTTGTGATATATATATATATATATATATATATATATATATATATATATATATATATATATATATATATATATATGATATATGATTGAATGAATGATCAGTTTTCTGTAGAGTAGTCCTGTACCTTACGATACACATGTCTCTGATCTGGACTTTGGAGATTTCGAGAAACGTGGAACATTCTTTTAATTTCTGATCTTCCCAGTTCCACCCTGACTCGGAGTCTTAGCACCTGTTAGGGCCTCAGCTTTAGGTAAATAGTGAAGCCACAAACAAAAAATAACTATGAAAGTATAAAAATACATTTTTTTTGTAAAAGTGTCCACCAATTTATTTTTTTATATAAAAACATGTCCAACAGTATATATTTAAAGAAAATTTACAAGCAATATATATTTTATAGCAAAATTGCCAGCAATTAATTTCATAATTGAATTACCAACAATACATTTGACAGAAAAATGACCAATGATATAATTTAGTAGTGGTTCAAGGTACAAACTTGTGTTCAAAATATTTAGATTTCGGTATTAAATAACCCGAAGAGTTGTTAATATGCAACTAAATCTAATCAACTAAATTGACTATACAGGGAGAATTTGTAAAGGTCAATACGAACTATGAGATAACTCGAAATCAAACTGAATTAGTCAATGAAGTCAATTAATGCTCGCAATAACGTTGTAGATAAAGCTCAAGACCACTTACTGGTGATTCTATTTAGGATAAAATGCAGCCAAACACCCTGCAGACTAAATGCTACTTCTCTCTGCACTGATTGGTCCCCTGTTCACGCAGCAATCAGGTAATATGCAGCTGCGCCTGCCATTGAACAGCTCAAGTGCAACTGAATGCAAATAGCTTTTAGTGATTTTCATCTTTTAATTGTAGCATTGGCTAATGTCAGTTCTTCTTCTGTGGGTATTCAGGTTTTTATTTGCTTTGGCCTTTGGCTATGTTCTTTCTCTTTTCATTTGATGCAAATAAATGAAAATAATGTCTTAAATTTCAATATTGCTCTTAAAATAACGGCTTTACTGTGGATGTTTTTTTTCGTATAGAAATTCGATGGCGCATTAGGACATTAAAAGATGCCTTCTAATAGCTAAGCAATGTAATAAAATAAAATAATAGCTGTATCAAACTTACAGCAACCGCCGTCTGTCTAACTCGCTGCATTGGCAGGGAGGAACCCGGACGAAGCTTTGCCGAAGGGCAAGGTTTCGTCCTGGGAGGTAGACAGGGCCTGAACCCATCTAGGCGGGTTCAAAGGCTATATTTTTGGCCGAGCCTACGGGCTCGGAGATACCCACATTAAACCGGCCTTGTGCTATATTCAATCCTCGTTGGTGGATCGATAAATACTAAGACAGATAGACAGAGAGGGTAAGACCTCCGAGTCTAGCTGAGTCGTGATACAGTCTTTGACTGGAAGCGACGTCTGTCGAACTCTTTGCGTTAGCAGAGAGGAACCCGGATGAAGCTTTGCCGAAGGGCAAGGTTTCGTTCAGGGAGGTAGACAGGGCCTGAACCCGCCTAGGCGGGTTCGAAGGCTATATTTTTGGCCGGGCCTACGGGCTCGGATTACCCACATTAAACTCGGCCTTGTGCCACATGCTACCCCACGTCGGGGGCGGGACAGCTAAATAAGCAATGTAAAGAAACAGGAAAATATCGTTGGAAATAAATAAAAGACTACTCAACGGTTACGACACATCAGTCCTCCAATAATGACACTAAATGCTGGACAATCTTATCGCAGATTAATAAGAGACTTGAGGCAACAGAAATGTTGTTTTTTTTTTCTCCAGAAGGATTCTGAGAATACCATTGATGAAACATGTTAGCGATGACGTTTTAAAGAAAATGCATTCTAAATGCACCAGAAAGAGAAAGTTTGAATTTCTGGGGTACATATTGAGATGGCATAGAAAATTTGGCGCTCAAAGGATAAATTGATTTTTTTTAATCATGTCAAATTAAGTAAAGCAATAAAGCCCCTAAGTCACAAAGAGTACCCCAGTTTGAAAAATATGAGAAAAACAAGGAGAGAGAACGATAAAAGAATAGGGATTAAGAAGACACTGCATTTAAATTTTTGAAGACCAACGCTGTCTGGAACGAGAGACGGAAAAGACTTCAAGAAGCGAGAAATGAGAGAGAACACCTACAAACGGAGGTTTTTTAAAATGTTTAACGAAAGAGGAATTATGAAAGAGGGCAAAAAGACAAATTTTGCTAAGACCTCCAGATGAGAGGAAATTATGGAGAGCCATGATCGCCCACGTCATGAAGGGACATGACACGATATTCAACTCTTGTCCTCTAGGAAAAAAATAATGCCTCAAACTTTCCATTATATCTTAAAGTCTAATTATAACTCATCATTTTGTAATGCGTAAGTTTCACTAAAAGATCTTTGGAAATTTCAAAGTTTTTCTGATCTTAAGAAATTTCAAACTTTAAGAAAAATGATCACAAATATGGAAACAAGATGGAGTCGTTTTAAATTTGGCATGAAGAACATAAGGGTGTAGAAAGAATGCAGAGGCAGAGAGAAAGAAAACAAAATGTGGAAAGAAAAAATGAAAGAGTAGCAATATAGAAAGAAATAAAAAAGAAAGAAAGAAAGGAAAAAGAAAGAAAGAAAGAAAAAAAAATAAAAAAGAAAGAAAGAAAGAAAGAAAGAAAAAAGAAAGAAAGAAAGAAAAGAAAGAAAGAAAGAAAAAAGAAAAGAAAAAAAAAATAAAAGAAAGAAAGAAAGAAAGAAAGAAAGAAAAAAAAAAAAAAAGAAAGAAAAGAAAAAAGAAAGAAAAAAGAAAAAGGAAAGAAAAAAAGAAAGAAAGAAAAATAAAGAAAGAAAGAAAAGAAAGGAAAGAAAGAAAGAAAAGAAAAAAGAAAGAAAGGAAAAAAAGAAAAGAAAGAAAAAAAAAGAAAGAAAAAAGAAAAAGGAAAGAAAAGAAAAGAAAAAAGAAAAAAAAGAAAATAAATAAATGAAAAAGAAAGAAAAAAAAAAAGAAAGAAAAGAAAGAAAGAAAGAAAGAAAAGAAAAAGAAAGGAAAATAAATAAAGAAAGAAAGAAAAATAAAGAAATAAAGAAAAAAGAAAGAAAGAAAGAATGAAAAATAAAGAAAGAAAGAAATAAAGAAAGAAAGAAAAAAAACAAAGAAAAAAAGAAAGAAAGAAAGAAAAGAAAGAAAAATAAATAAATAAAGAAAGAAAGAAAGAAAGAAAAAACGAAAGAAAGAATGGAAAAAGAAATAAAGAAAAATAAAGAAAGAAAGAAAGAAAGTAAGAAAGAAGGAAATATAAAGGAAGGAAAAAAGAAAATTCTAAAATAAAAAGTAAAGCGATATTAAGAATAAATTAAAAGAGTAAGGAAAAAGAAGAAAAATCAAATAAGTAACGAATGAATAAAAGAAGGAAACAAAGAAAAATTAGAACGATACTGATTATGTTTTGCACTCGATTTCACGTTAGAGCGCGGGGCTAGTTTTTGGGTTGACCTGATGTAACCCCGGCCACTGAATCAAGAATCACGTGATCTTACAACTACAACCCGTTTTGCAAATGGGGGTCTTAATGAACGCTGTTAGATCAATAACTACCCAGAGCTTAGTTTGACATTCAGATATAATAGAATATCACCCGTTCATGTTTCCGGTGAATTAATGCACTTTTAGAATAACTTTCTGTCTAACGATTAATATCTTGACAATAGTTTCCGTGTCTCCTTTATGACCCGATGACCAAAGATGACGTGAATGGTGGCTGCTGGAAGACTTTAGGTTTGTCAATATGACTCTGCACCATGCCACACAGGCAGGTGAACACAGTCATTGCTGTCAGACAATTTCTGCGACGAAACCACCCCTTACTTCTGGCCACCTAATTCCCCAGACTGTAATCCCCCTTGATTATTATGTGTGGGGCACAGTTAAGCGAGAGAACAACAAAACTCCTTGTAATACCAAAGATGAACTGGAGGCAAGCATTATGGCAGTATTCACCTATCAGGTCATCCCATAAGTTCTGTCCGAATTTTGAATAAAGAAAACAAGTGACCAAATGTTACATTTAATTACAGATTCAATCAACAATGTATTTTCCCTGATTATCTATGACTTCCTTCCAACAAGCTTACTAATTTCATTACTGTAAAAAATTCTTTTGGCTTTGATTCGAACTCCCAAATGTCAGTTTTAACATCTTCCTTTAAAAAGCTGTTTCTTCCAAATGATTCTGTAAGCTACGCAACAAATGGTAGTCTGAAGGAACAAGATCGGGAGAATAAGGTGGATGAAGAATTTTCTCCCAACCAAGTTCTTCGATCTTTTGTGACGTGATTCTTGCTGTGTGGAGTCGCGCATTGTCCTGATGAAACATCACTTTTTTTCGATTCCCTAGAGCAGGTCTTTTTTTCATCAAAGCTTGGTTCAAACGCTCTAATTGCTGACAGTATATTTGAGTATTAAGTTTTGCATTAGGTGGTAAGAATTCAAAGTGGATTATTCCTTGGCGATCCCACCAGTTTGAAAGAAGGACCTTTTGCCCATGAAGTTCCCTTCTCAGCTGTGGCTGGGGTCCTTCCCCTTTACCAAGCCACTGTCTATACTGACGCTTAATATTTCGATAAAAGATCCATTTTTCGTCGCCAGTCACAAGTCTATCCAAAAAAGGTGAAACAAGTTGGCGAGAATGGAGAGAAGAGCAGATGTCACCTCGGGATTTGAGGTTGTTTTCAGACAATTCATGTGGCACCCATTTTCCAAGTTTAGGAACTTTTCCAACTTGTTGAAGATGACGAAGAACAGTTGTATGGTTTGAACTGAGAACAACTGCCAATTCCTCAACTGATAAAGCAGGATTTTCTTCAAGGACTGCTTCAAGAAGCTTCTCATCAAACTGGGCGTCCGGTTCGATCTTCATCTTCAAGGGGGAAATCTCCACCTCTGAATTTTGCAAACCATCTTCTGCAAGTTCTTTCATTCACACATTCCTCTCCATAAACTGAGTGAGTGTTTCTAGCCGCTTCGGCTGCTGAGTTTCCTTTCTTGAACTCATAAAGCATTATGAGCCTCAAATGATTCTTGGGTACTTCCAAGTTAGCAGGGTTTTAATCAAGCAAAATTTAATTTTATTGTTCTCTGAAATAAAATTTTATCAGTTTAAATGCTTCTAAACATAAAAATAATGTTCAGCTCCATTAGACATTATAAAATACTCTTTAATTTTTTTTCATTTTATCAAAAAGTTAAAATTCGGACAGAATTTATGGGATGACCTGATACTTAAACAAGGAAACCAGCCAGAAAAATTGCTGGAGATTACAAAGTCGTCTGCAGGCCATTGTTGATGTCAGTGGTGATTTTATTGAATAAATTTAATTTTCGTATTTCAAGATATTTTTATGTAATTTTCGTAAATATATTTGTTAAAATGAGATGCCAGAACCTCCTATTTTACCCATAGCTGGAGGAAGATGAGGATTCACACCTTTACCAATGGTATTAGCGCATAAGTGAATGTAATAGATTCGACTGGATTTCGAACTCGGCTCTATGATTTCTCAATCCAAGCTGCCATCCATTACTCCACCGTCCTTCCTCGATTTATCTCATTGTACGAAACTACAATTATTTTCCAAAATAGTTCGAATCGCAAAAGAAAAAAATCGAAAAAAACAAATGCAATATGGCAATCCCTGAAGCACGTCTTTCGTGTCTTCAGGAAAAGAAATCAAATACATAACAATAAAAATAACAATTTCTTACACTAAATGAACGCCATTAGTTAATCGTTTAATTGGCATCGAGCCCATTTTTTAATCAAAACTAAAGATCCCGTTAATCAAAAAGGTGACATAAAAACTAAGATCAATTTTTCAAACCTTTAATACTAATACTATAATCAAATACAAAAAAGTAAAAATGCGTTAAAATATTATATATATATATATATATATATATATATATATATATATATATATATATATATATATATATATATATATATATATATAACATCCGAATAACTCCTGAAGAGGGCCTCAGACTCAACACGGAGGTCTACATCAAGTGCCTTGGGGGAGGTAGTTCTGCTCTGGGTCAAGAGAGTGGCTGCTGGAAGACCCTATGTCTGTCATCATGACTTTGTACCATGCCACACAAACAGGTGAACACAGTCATGGCTGTCAGACAATTTCTACGACAAAATCACCCTTTACATCTGTCCACCTAACTCCCCAGACTTCAACCCCTTGATTATTAGGTGTGAGGCCGCAGTTGAGCGAGTCACCAGCAAAACTCCTTCTAACACCAAAGACGAACTGCAGGCATTATGGCAGAATTTATCAACTTAAACAAGTGACTGTCAAAAAGAATTGTTTGAGATTCCGATGTCTAGGGGCCGCGTTTGAAACCATGTCGATTTTTTTGTATAAATATACTCAAGATATTTTTGTGCAATTTTTTATACATATATCTTTTAAAATGAAATATAAGTGTTATTTTCATTTCTGCGTAATTTAAACGACAATTTATCCATATAGTGATTTTCCAAGTGTAGCTTAGATGTGGCACAAGGAGTAGGAAGCCACCCTGTGAGGATGGAACTCACTGTCCATCCTCAATGATTCTAGCGAGACAAGCTTGCTAATCATTACACCACCTAGAGGTACTCACCCAACCCTATATATAATACTAAGTATTTACTCTGTCTCCCCGAGTTGTGACACATGGTCTTTTTAAAGGTAGGATCCCGAGCGCGTACACCCGGGCTGGGAACAAATATTGCCCGCAGCCCCTGCAACTCTCGGTTGCTCTGGCCTCGGTGCGAGCACCGATCGCTCTCTCTTGTGCAATGAGAGGGCGCGACCTCGGGCAGCTGTACCCCAGTGCTGGACACTTCTCCCCTATGTATAATACTAAAGATATAATATTTTATGTATGTGTGTTTTTCCAAGATACAGCTTAAGCACTACATAATACCCCAAACAATTTAAGTGAATATTATATATTGAACACCTGCCAATTGCAGTGTTAACTTTCATTAAAATTAGACGGTAATTTTAGAAAGGCGTGAGACAACAGTTGAAAACTGGTGACGACTGTTGTGACTGAGAAATTCAGGAAGAATTTCTGCACATTTTGTCAATCCCCACGTCGGATATTCCATTCTGAATAATTTGACGCTCAAAATCAGTGAGTTGTTTAGCCACACGAGAAGAGCGGAACGCAAATAACCTTTTAAATGAAGAGTCACAAGATCGAGCAGCAATTAACCAATCAATTAATCAATCATAAATGAACCAATCAGATTTTAGTCATTAAGTGAAAGTCGAATGATTATTCAAGGTCATGAATATTCAAGACATTTAGTCAAGGTTATTCAAAATCAACTATTCCTGAAAGATAAAAAAGACAAATATATGATATATATATATATATATATATATATATATATATATATATATATATATATATATGCTCCTGAAAAATTTATTT